CATTAGTAATTTACTTAAAGCTATGTGCGTTAAATAAGGGAAATCTGAAACTTACAAATACTTTGTTGTAGGCCAGACGAAATAAACGTATTTATACGTACATACGTATAAGATGTAAAGTTTAAATTTTTAACAGTTCAGCAAAAACATTTCTTTCTGATCGATCATTTCTTTATAAATTCGAAAAAAAATACAAGAAATGTGACGTCTTTACGCACTTCTTCTAACCTTAAACTAGCCCTAATCTCCTTTAATCAAATAATAAAAAATTTCGTTATATGGCCTTAGACATCACCTTTTTTGTACTCTTAGGAATTAAAGTTTTCTAAAAAAAACTTCAATCTTTCTATGTGTATAGAAATAATGCACAAGCTTAACACATTTAAGACAGTTTAAATTTCTTACAACTTCAATAAAGTGCAGAATTCCTGCGTGGAAATAATCCTTACTAGTAATTATTTGTGTATACTACTGAAGCTTGAATAAGCCGCTATTGAGAGTGACAAATTTAACTTAGCTCGAATCTTATTTCGAATAAGTTGGTACGTATATAAAGGAAATTTTTAGACTTTTATACTATGTGTACAGTGCAGGAATCTAAAACTTTAATAAGAAAGACTTGGCATGGATTTGCACCGGAAATGCACGAAATGGCACGGATCGTATGACACGTACAGGCGCGCTTCACGGAATGGCACGGCTGAAAATGACACGAAAATTACGCCAAGGGGTAGAACGTTATGTCTCTTCATACGGAATGGCACTACGTACGTACGACATATCCGGTAAGGTTGTTAATGGGTTGATCCAATCTTCGACCCATTAAACCTTGCTCCAGATTCCGGGCTGCTCCAAACCCGCTCCGGATTGCTCCAGGGTGCACCAAATTTATAACCATATTTTTAAACCCACTCCAATGTGGGTTGGGTTCAACCCAGAGCAGTTCCGGAGTATGCCGCTACATTAACAACCTGGTATCCGGATGACACGTATTAAAAGGATCATGTGTTGGCTCGTCTCATGGAGTCCAATAAAAACGAAGAATAAATAAACGACTTTTTTAAAGAAAATCCAATATCTCAAAACTTTGTTAATGAAACCACCCTGGGTTAACAAAAAGAATTCTCTGCAAAATTTTACTATGCACGTAGTCACTTTAATTGCTTAAAAACGGTTACGGCGAAAGTTATTTCTAACTAGACATCACGCCGAGTGACAATTTACTAAAAATATATACAGGCAACTAATCGAACGCTAACCCTAACCCCATGTGATGTCGGGTAAGTGATCTGTCGAGGAATGTCTTTCAGGGAATTGAGCGACAACCCTTAAAAACAATATGTAGTCCACTGAAAGTGGATCGCTCCATTCATGTGCAAATTGGCTACAAGGAGCTTATCGGACCAAGTAATTTCACGTTCAAACGAGTGTTGCAGAACGAATACCTGTTAGTGATTATAAGTGCAGTTACAGGCTTCGTTATGCACATGCAAGTCCCATGGCCCGTGTCATTCAGACCAGTCAGTGCTCTGACACTATTTTTCGTGCTGAACGCGGACCACTTTTCTTAACTCATTAGTGATGAGTTAAAATTGTCATTCTTAGTGGCGGCTTATTTAAGTTTCGGCAGTACACTATTAAGTTCGATAAAAGGAGGTTAAGGTTTAGGGTAAGTGCAAGTACTGGAGGTAAAAACATCACGTTTCTTATATTTTTCGAACCTATAACGAAATGATTGTTCTAAATGAAAAAAAAAAGAAAAAAAATTTATGCTGAACACTGCTATAAGATTTAAAATTTTACATCTTGTTATTCTACGAAATGTATGTATATACGTTGTAACAGTTGAACTCACCCACCCCGAAACAGAGCCACAAACGAACAAAATTTTGTAAAAATTGTAAATTTTGAAAATTGGGTAAAAACGAGTTTTTAAAAATATTATTAAGAATTTGTAAAATTGTTCCAATAGTGCAAAATTGGTAAAAAGAAAAATTAAAAAAAAAATTATAGTAACAATTAGTAATTTTTAAAATTTACGTACAAGAATGTATATAAACGATCGAAAGCCTTAATATTATTAGGGTTAAATATAGTAGTTTGTGTAGATTTTTTATGAGTTTTCTCTATTACGATCTTGCATTATATTCGACACATGATATTCTAACTTGGCTAAAGATCGCATGATAATAAGCATAGTATGCTTCAATATGATTGGATGCCAGTAAAATATATATGCTGCATAGGAAACATTCTTCGTTAATCGCCGATTCTGATCTTAATTTCACTGTCAAGGGTTTAATTAGTTATTGGTATATGCTAGATCATGAATTTATCACATTATGAACTTCTTGAAATTCCCGAAACAGCAACACAGGAAGAAATAAAACAACAATATCAAAAATTACTACTTCTTGTAAGGCAACTTTTTATATTAAACAACGGAACTTAATCCAAATAATGACAGTTTAGATTAATGTTGAAAAAAGCATCATCCAGATAAATCTCAACATTCTTTAACAAATAATTCTGAAGATACGAAGAAAGACGGAAAAATAAATCAGATTATTGAAGCATGGAAAATTTTAAAAGATCCAGAATTACGAAAAATCTATGATAACAAACTAAAAGGTATAACCCAACCTTTTTTGTTTCTGATATTTCAATTATTCAAAATAAAAACATTCCAGACCCAATGAAAATTGACTTTTAAAAGCAACCAAACTTAAACACGATGGATTATTTAATTCAGAAATCGACTTAGATGATATGGAATATGATCAAGGTGTAGTTTGTTGGATATTTTGTGCAAATTCCACCACAACCCTTTTTTTAACCTTTCAAAAAAATTATAGAGACAAATTCCTATTCAATACGATGTCGTTGCAGTGGTTTATACATTATTACCGAGGAAAATTTGGACCAAGGTGCAGATATAGTTGGGTGTACGGATTGTTCATTGAGAATTCATGTGTTGTACGAAACTATTTCGGAAGACTAACTCTAACTTATACTTGCCGCCCAAATCCCAAACTATTATAGTTTGGGTTTGTCCGCGCCCAAATCTCAAACTCAAGCCCAAACTATTATCTCAAAAACTTTGTTAATCTTTATTTAAACAAATGATCTATATTCATATAGCTATATATAATATGTTTACAAAATAATTTTTTACAAAAGCAATTTGTTTTTTTGGGGTTTTGGATTTGTCCGGGTTTTGCCGGCAAGTATACTCTAACTTTGTTGTTTCTTAATTTTAATATATATATTTCTGCACTATTTGGTCTTCATCATGATTAATGAGATTATTTACGACAATATTTTTTTGGCCTTTGAGAAAATTTGGCTAAAGATACATCAATTTGAAAAAAAAGAATTTAATGAGTTTATGTTAATTTTTTGTTAATATTTCTTGAATATATGTATATTAGCATGAGATTCCTTAACAATGTGAGAAATATGAGAAAAATATTTTCCATATGCTCCAGTTTTTGGAATTGAATTAGGGTTTTTTTAGGACTTTTTTAAACTTTAAAAGCAAATAACTTTTAATTTATAAGTTTATAAAAAAACAATTTTATTAGTATCATATTGGGTTTCCAATATATTAATTAATTAGAACTATATTGAGCATTGTACGTAGTAAAATCCAGTAGTGCAGATTTGTGCGTAGATCGGCAAAATCGTCAAGTTTACTAGCGAAAACTAAAAATTGATTCATCTCACGTACCAGCTATTCTTCTCCAGTAATTTATATTCCAAACGATTAGTTTAATATGTTAAAAAAAAAGTTATAGTTTTAAATTTTTTTTCACAAAGAAATTCACGTTTTTTTAGTTTACGGGAAGTTCTTACTAATTTAGTCTTCAAAAATATTTAATAAGTTAAAAATCTTAAACTGTAACTTCTTTTTTTTGTATTATACCAATTGTTTGGTGTAAAAATTCTTAGTTTGTACGTAAAAGATGAATCAATTTTTTTGGATACTAGAACTTTGATAGTGAATTGATCGATTTTACTGATCTATGCAAAAATCTGTAGTTTTGATAATTCTGTAAAAAAAAAAATCTCTCAAAGCCATTTTTCCTATAATTTGTCTTTGTCCTAATCTTATTAAAAAAAGGTTGCTTAAATTTTATAAGCCTATGCTAATCAGCACGTATATATTTGATATTGTTGGTAAATTGTCAAGTCGGCTAAATGACTTGTTGATGAAATAATTTTGAGGAACCGCTCATATAATGCTGTCACCATGAAGATTAGTCAAATTCACACGATCTCTCATTTACAAAAGTTTAATTGAAAGCATCCATGTATCCACAAGTACATGTGAATAGAAGATAAATGAGCACTATGACTAGTGCTAGATACAATTATACCATCATTGATAATTAATTTAGTGGCTCAAATATAGTATAGCTTACCCTACCCTAAAATTTAGGGTATGCACCCTAAAAATTGGGGAATGTACCCCAAAAAATAGGGTGCATACCCTATAAGATCCTGTCTGGTTTAAATTACACAAAAAAGCACCCTAGACTCTAAAAATAAAGGTCATGTGACATTAAATATACCCTAAAAATGGGTATGTACCCAAAAAATGGGGTATGTACCCCAAAAATAGGTATGTACCCCAAAAAATGGGTATACCGGGTTGGTGAAAAGTAACTAAATAGGTCCCTATTTTTACTATCACTAATATTTATTTATTACCCGAGTTTGTGTAATAAAATAAAAAATAATAAATTAAATATTAGCAGAGATCGGATCTGTTTAGTTACTTTTCACCAACCCGGTATACTCTAAAAAATGGGGTATATACCCTAAAAATTGTATAAAAAAAGGTATATAATAGTATTATATATATATACGTGCACAGGTCCTCCTAAAATAATTCCGGCCAAAAATTGGTATAATGCTGGTAAAAAGGGATAACCTATACTATATTTTAGCCAATTCAGTATTTAGTTAGAATTCATATTCTTTATAGTTGCTGATATCATATTGTTTTAAAATAAAAAATACAAAATTTCTAAATAATTTAGATGAATGTTCTACCTTATGTAGTTTATAATAGAAATTTTTTAAGAGATTATCTATTCATAAATAAAGTGTTCACAAATTATAATATCTTTTGACCAAAACATACTGAATAACCAAAGTCATATATATTCAGCTTTTTATTTTTCATTTGTAGAGGTAACAGTAATTTTTGTTTTGTTGTCAATCTATATCAATTTCAATTTGCTTTAATTGGTTTGTTTTAATTTAATTTGCTTTGATGTTGGTTTAATTTAGTTACTTCTGCTCTGGTTTAGTTTGTGTTAATGATATGCTTTATTTGTTTATGAATTATTTTCAGTAAATACTGCATAAAAAGTATTTAAAAATTCTTGAACTATACAATTTAGCAGATTTTTGAAATTGGATCTTAAAGCTCCAAATCTATTAAAAGAGTTTGAATAAAGTTTCAACTCCTCAAATTAGAATTGATAGCTAGAAATACAATCTTTTATTATCTGTTTTCTATCTGGATATTGTTAATAATTAACATTAGTTTGATTAATCTTTTTTTATAGTATAAGTTATATCTGCTTAATATTATTCACAACTTAATTACTTATATTAATTTTGTAATATTTTATTTTTGAAAAAAAATTAATTGAAATTTGAGACAATATTAAAAATATATTTTACTATACAACCACTTTGTTTTGTATTTATATTATATTTATAAACAGTTTTACTAAATCATATCAGTAGTGCTAACACCACATTGATTTTGACTAATAAAATTAATGATTTGCAGTATAATATCAAAATTAGATAATATAAAAATCAAAAAATCTTTAATAACTCAAAATTTTATTTCTAATTCTAATTATAACCCTAACTCTAAATTTTAATTTTTTCTTTAATTTTTTGTTTATTTGTTTTGATAATAATCATTATATTATGGGTTTGGATTCCATAGCTTATTGGTTAAGCTCTCAAACCCCACAGACAAGGTCAACGGTTCGAGTCAGGCTGGAGACAAATTTAATAAATTTGTTTCTGTAATCTACAGGGCCATAATTGAATGCGAAGCCTTGTAGAAAGTTCAAGTGCAGTACGAAACCAAAATAAGAAGTTTCTAGAAAGAGACCAGGTTGTGGAGTGAAGGCATTATGTGTGATAGCAGTATCACAAAAGGTCTAGACAGTAAAAGATTGCGCGTATAAGTTCTCTAGTTGGGGTGACTTAGAGGCAATATCAACATCCTATCACCTCTATATTTGGCAATACCAATATTCCTACACCCAACTTGTGGGGTACTTGCTTGGAAAGATGATCAATGAATCATGCGCATAAGTCCTAATATGGAAGGGCATTGGGTACTTGCTTGGAAAGGTGATACTATACTACCAAAACTGGAGTAGTGAGAGAAGCAGTAATACATAACTATGGGCTGTAGTAAAAGATTATATCTTAACTAGAATTGGAAACACCTCTGGCACTAGTGGAATGACTATAAAAGGTTACTTGATGTAGAAAAGTAACCTACTCCTGTACGTCTAAAGGTATCAATTTGGAGTTCTAGTCATATCTATATAGAAGTCTATGATAAAAAAGAGTTAGGATTTACTAACATTAATGCAACACCAACTAGAAATAGCTAGCTGAAAGTGATTTAGCTTGCCACTTAAGTAATTTTGTGGTGTTAGGCTGGTCTTTAACAAGATAGGTTATTAAAGCAGAATTATGAAAATAGCCAATAGCTGGAAGTGTGTAGCCTTGTAGTTGCTATGCAACTCAAGGAGTCTTTACGAACTATAGTTCTGACGAATACTATATAAAAGAGTATTTAGGGTAGTAAGAAGTATACTGCATCAGATAACTTAGTAAATGCTAAGACCTGAGGATGGCAAACTGGGCAGTAGCAGCAGGGACCTGGCTTGAGATACGAAGCTAGTATACTTGGGGATACAAGTGGGAGGTTTGGGGTATTTATATAACATAAGTTGCATAAAGAAATACAAATCGGCAGAAACTGAGCAGTGCAAACCCATGATAAGTCTCCTTTCCAACATGTGATACCAATGCTTCTCATGTGGTACTAGCAGCGGTAGCAGATATCTGGCTTGAGAACGTGAACAAGAGGCCATCTATTAGAAAGAGTATATCAGTCTAGAAAATACTTCGAATAACAGGCATATCAAATTGGAAGGCCATTAAGGACCAATTACTTGAATGAACCAATTTGGAAGTTATCAAGGTTTGATATAAGATACGGAGTGAATGCAGTGGGTAACTAAATATAGTTTGAACACCAAATCCAGGTATAACCCAATACATAGTGGGAATATAGTATACTCTGGTAGGTTTAGATTGTACAGTAGATAAAATTATCTAAGCCTGTATTCTTAAGATTATATATAGCTATATAAGGCAAATACTTGACATATCTAATAAAGATATAAGACAAGACCTCATCTTAATACTAAAAAAAAAAATAATAATCTTTATATTATACAGTATATAGTATACTAGTGTTAGTATTATATGTTGTGACTTGTTGGTACTAATATTCTATCTCAAGACTTCTTTCATCTTTTTTTGACTATTTTTTTATTTTTACTTCTTTTTTTTTCAAATATAGTATTATCCACTCTTGATATTTAGGATTCCTCAAAATCAAATCAAATCAAATATCAAACATATTTAAATTTAATTTAATTTAAAATTTCTATATTTGAATTTGATTTAATTAATCAAATCAAATCAAATCAAATAATATTTGAAAATTTTTAAAATTTTTAAAATTTTATTATTTTTTTAAAAAATTTTTAATTTATACAAAATTTTACTAAGTTAATCAATTTTGTATATTAAATAAAAATATTTTTTAATTAAAATACTTCTAGTTAAATAGAAAAAATATAATTATCTTAATAAAATTTTGTGTAAATAGCTATTATATTTATAGTTTTAATAAAATTAAATCAAATATTCAAATATTTG